ATAATATCTTCTAATTGGCCATTGTCAATCAAATTACTCAATGCAGAGCTCAATGTATTATGCATTAATCGCTTTTTTTCTCATTTTCACACGTTTTATAATCTATTTTCGTACTTATTATAAGTAGCTTATATAGGTAAGCAGCTAACTAGCTGCATAAGCTACTTAATATCAATCTATATATTATTCCAAACCTAGTTTCCAAACCAGGTTCCAAAACCTAGCATCAATGTTACTTAATTACATGGATGTTTGTATTTTCTGTTTAGTTCCGTTTGATGGAACGCAATTCCCGAGCGCTGAATTAATGATTTATCTTATTCCTGCGCATCCCGGCTGCTTAGTTGGTCTAATATATGACTTTGTGAGCGACCGTACCGTTCAGCCCACGCTGTGTCGCGTTTTGATTAAAAGCGGGCGGAACGGCGATCCGCGCCATACGAGTCCCGCGGGGCGTTAAGAGCATTCTGGCGTTTGGCTGACGGTCCCCCGCGATATATCGCGTTTGTTGCCATATTTGGCCGGATCATTCGGGCCACTACAGTCGGTCGATCGGTCGATCGGTCGGTCGGTCGGTCGGTCGGTCGGTCGGTCGATCGGTCGGTTGGTCGCTCGGTCTCTAGAGCAAACGGAGTGGCAGGCTACTGGTACAGGAGAGAGGCTCGAGCGCGGCTCGTTCCGGCGCGCAACGTTCGCCAAGATCAATAGACGGGCCGCAAGCCGTTATCCCAGGCGACAGAGAGCCCGCTGGTTTTGATCTCTCGCGCATGCGCTCTCACCTCTTTCACAAACCCCCCATCGCACTTTCTATCCCCCTTGCCAACCTCTGACGATAACGGTCGCAGCGTCGGATGTGAGCGACAATCGCGTCGTCAGTCCACGAGAGCGCCGGAATTCGTGCGGCGGCTCATGCGTTTACTTGCACTACTGTCCAGACCAAACATCGTTCGTCTAGCAGTACCTAACATCTTCATGCACAGAGACCAATTGTATACAGAAGGCCAGAACACATCCGCTGGCAACTCAGTTGTTTAGACAAGAAAGAGAAAGAGAGAAAGAGAGAGAGAGAGAGAATATAAATTGTTCGTTGCAATTAGCTATAAACTATGATTTTCTGTCATCTCTGCAATTTTAAATACTTATATCTTAGTAAATTTATCATTTATGTTTTTCTACTAAAACGTCCTCTTATTTTGTGTTAATTAAATATTATTGACATAATATTGAACTTTAATTATTTTTAGAGATTATTATATCAACGTTATTTATTTTCTCTGTTGCTGTAGTACACATTTTACCTAAGGTAAAATATAATTTTCTGAATTCAGGAAATGAAATCACCGAAACATACAATTTTAGAGTGAGATACAAGACGGAAGAAAAGATAAAAAAAATTTCAGCGTTGGTGCACGATTACTGTCGAAACTGTCACATTGTAGCTAAATATTGAAAGTACAAAAGAGCAAATATTCTGCAAAACAAAATGAAAGCTGAAGCGGTAAAATGAAGCAAAAGAACCGGGGATGCAATTGAAATAAAATCCAATCAAATTTTCCGCATTCGATGTATAAAGAGATTTGTGTATATGTCATATTCGAAGGCATCGATATTTTTGCATCAAACGTTTCGCGTCGTACAATTTTATAATAGCTTAAAAAAAGATAAACTTTTATGTTTTGATGCAATTCCATAAAATAAAGAAGATATATATGTACGATAAAATGAGATACATAAAACTGCATAGTATAACATTTTGTACCGTACAAATGAGTAAAATAATATAATGCAAAATAATGCGTGATATTTTAATATATGTAAGCGTACACCAAAGATTAATACCTAATGATAGATCGCGTGGGACGAGCCGGACGAGTTTACGAAGATATCTTCTCAATGTGACGATTTTCATAAATATTTCTATAAATATTCGACATACATCATTACGCCTATTAAATTATATTCAAAAAGGTAAATTTTATGCGCTCATAAAGTTAGGATTATACAAATTAGGGATTGCGATAAGATATTCTTGGATTAATGGAGATCTCGCTCATCGGCAATTAAATTCCTAATCATAAATTCGAAGCAGACGGCATGTACAGATTATGTATATAAAAGCGATGAAAAATATGCCAATGTGAACATTGCTTTTCAAGCGAGCCAAGACGTTAGATTAAAACGCATAAAATTCACCCTCATCGTCCCGTCGCGTCGCTCGCGTGGGTGCTCCGTTGCTCCGTATAGACAGAGTGTCCTAGGAATTGCGAATTATACACTGTAGACATTTTGAAATATTTTCTTTGCAAGCAGTCGATATTTTAAGTATTTTAAATATTCTGCGATGAAAAGGTTTTGCAGTGTGTATATCTATATTCTTAAATCTTAAAGAAATAAGGTTTAAAATGTAGATTTTAAATCTTATCTTTTTCGAAATATTCAGAATGTTTATGTTCTTATAATTCTACAGTACTGAAGCATACGTAGCAACTATGATTTAGAAATACGCTGCTCCTAAGACACCCCGTATATACCTACGCATCGCACGGCTCGATGGAGGGCGCAAACTCGTGTTTGTACTGCGTATTCAAAGTTTACCCCGCAACTCGAGAATTTGATTCAAAGTCGCGCGGGCGGAAAGAATGTACACTCTCACCGCTCCGGTTACGTTATGATCCGCATTAGCTCCGCTCTAGCGGAGAGTTGGAAGCGACACGTCTCAATGTCGCACGCACGTGTACGCGTGTTATGTATGTGTGCGTCCGCGAATGCGAAAATACGTATCATCGTCCGCCCTTTGATGTGCGTCAACGTCGCTCCAAAGCGCGTACCCTACAAAGACGAGTAGGGTGTACGCGAGAAAGTAGCAAGAATATTCAGCAGTCGAATATTTTTCACGAGGCAGTGCCGAGCTGCAAATAGAATGTCTTTTGATGCACCTCTTTTCACTCTTTTACGTCGTCGGTATATGTACTCAGGCCGCTTTACATGCCGACGCGAAACCGTACGTAATCCGGAAAGTAACGTATCGATACGCCCGTCCCTGCTAAGCTGAGGTCTACTCTACGCAAAGAAGGGAAAAGAAACAAGTATAAGTAAAACGAGCGGAAACAAATAACACGGTTGTGCAAGAAAATTGTAAAGAAAAAGCGAGAGCGAGACGCGACGGCGATGAAAACGCGACCACCAAAGTGCCGGAATTAAGAAGGAAAACGTGGTTTTCGCCGGGTCAATGCGACGATTTAATTAACCGCGGAATAACGAAAATTATTAAATCAAGCGGCAGAGCAACAGACGGTGTAGATACGGTGATAATCTTCGTCGCTTCATGCGGACAGGTATAAGTGAATTAATTAGAAGATAAGAGACGAAGACACGCGAGGATTGACGCAGCCTATAATGCAATTTTAATACACTGTAAGGGATGCTAGTAAATATAATGTACTCTTGTGAATATACACACATCAGTCAAATTCTCTAAGAAGGCAAGGTTGAAAACCACCAAGTTCCTGAGACAATCAGAAAGAGTGACAGCACGCAATCATGCGGTTAAAGTATCTCAGATTCTGTAGTATTTCTATGATGTACTATTGCGTTCGCGAAACATCATATGGCCATTATTTCAATTAGAAAACGCATGCCTACTAGCTATAGATTGAACATATTTACATGTACTAGGTAGGTAGTTTTATGGAATGTCCAAACATATTGTGTACGATGTAAAATACAAGAATTCAGCTATTATGCTAATTATCATTAATCATTATGATGTGACACAATCGTGATCTCTTAAAGAAAAAGCCACTGAGCGAACATGATCTTCCTCCGCTGTGCATCAATACACTCAGCAGGGCACGCTGACAAGGGGGATGGCGGGAGGGTGGAGGGTGACGAAAACTACTAAGTTCATGAAACAATCAGGTAGTCAGGGTGACAGCGAGCGCAGGCACGACGGCAGTTGTCGGCTTGAGGCGAGCAGGCAAGTTAGAATAGATGGAAGAGAGAGGGTGAAAAGGGGGCGAGAGAGGGAAGGAGAAATGGACGAGGGTGGGCAGACAGGTAGGCAAGCAAGCAAGCAGGCTAGCAGGCAGGCAGGAAGGAAGGAATTGCGCCTGCGCGCTGAAACGGCCGGGCTAGACGCGAGAGCCGCCACTCCCGAGCGCGTAGCGGTGTACCGCGGGTGCTGACCGAGTGTCCCCGCGAGAAGAGCGAGAGAGAGTGAGAGGGCGAGAGCGAGAGAAAGGAGTGCGGAGAGAAAGAGCAGGCCGTGAGAGAGGTGACAGGAGCAGAAAGATGTTCGTCGCGAGAGGAAGGATCCTGCGGAAGCGGAGCTCGCGGCAGGACATCGTCGGCGATCAGAAGGCTCCGGCTCTGTAGGACGCAAAACGAAGAAGGAGGCGCACAATCTTCAGGAGAAGAAGGATCCTCGTCTCCCTCCTTCGCCGACACCCGTTATCCCCCCGCCCGATTGTCATCCCGGTGTGCCTCTTCCGCCTCGAAAACGCCGCGGGAATCGCGAACGAAACTCGGTGCCGAGCGGGAAAGAACGGTGGAGGAGCGAGGGAGAGACAAGAGAGACGAAGAAGAATCGCGAAAGACTCCCGGTGCTGACAAATTTTCGCAAAACTATCCTACGTCTTCGTTTATTGCGCGTAATCAAGACTACCGTTGTGATCTCGTCGCGAGTGACGAAGCGCAAAAGGTGACACAAAAGCAGAATGTGTCCGCGGTAGAATTACCCCGGATCGAGCTTCAAGTGTCGTGATATTACAATCCATGTCGCCGCTTGAACGTTCGCAAAGGTACGATTGTGAGTGACAGTGACGGGAAGATACAGGCAGAGGTGAGCGGAGAAGATCGGGCGAGGAGAGCGTTGAGAGAGCTGAGAGAGGATCGTGGAAAAGCGACGGGCCAGAGAGCGCACACGGAGAGGAGCCTGAAGAGGAAGCAAGACGGGGGTAGGAGGGTGGGCTGGGCGGGAGGGAGGGAGGGAGGGTGAGACGCAGACGACACGCAGAGAGGCGCCGGGTCAACGCGCCAGGTAGCAACGCCTCAGGACAACCGTCGACGTTCCCTTCGTCGCCGTTCTCGTCCTCACCGCGTCCGTCGTCTCAGCGGCGGGGTGGTGTCGTGATTCCTCCCCTTTAGAAACAACCGCGGACAACCGCGGCGACACCGGGGGACGACAGCCATGGGGTCCTTCCACGCCGTCTCCGGGAGCTTCGTTCTCCTCGTGGCCACGGTCGTCCTACTGCCCGCCACGCATCACACACCGTTTGCATACGCCGCGTAAGTCAGCTTGTTTTTATACGCGCTTACTTAGGCTTAGGCAAAATGCGAGAGGCGCGCGCGTAACGCAACCATGAGAATAACTTAAAATTAGCATGTGGTTTTTTTTTTCGAAAATAAATGCTGAGAGATAAGGGTGATTTTGAAGAAATAATCATTGATATATTTTGCTAATAGCTTGTATCTGATCAGGTCTTCAATTATACACGTATTTACACGAAGTACGAGTGGAGTGTTAAAAAAAAAATTCTGCGAAACCTCGCGGCAATGAGTTGTTGATGTTTTCTTTACATTTGCAAAGGAAGTTTATCAACGAGTTGTTGATGTTTTCTTTACATTTGCAAAGCGAATTTATCGCAATCTTTGAAACCTGTTTAACACGTCTTTCCATGTTTAGAAATGTCCGAAGAGCGTATAGAAATAAAATTATTAAAATAAACGTACTTAAAGCTTTGAAGAAAAAGTAAAAAAAAAGGAGACATGTGTCCGTCATTTGCTTAGAAACACTATCCAATATTTCAGAAAAGTTAATATCTTATATCTAGACACTTTTGGATTTGTAGAGATAATGTTTATGAAATATTTTATTACAACTGATTTTTATCGATTCTATCATCAATTATAAAACTAACTAATTCATAGAATTCTTGATTTTACTCATACAATTTTGTTAGAAAGATTTCATATTGAAATCAGCTCTAGTGAGAGATTTCAAATATTTTTACGTACACACACATTATTGCTATCGAAAATATATTAGTGTTATCGGTACGACAGAAGATTTAATGAGCAATATTTTATACATTCCTGTATATTAAAATTTTATGGTAAAGAACAACGATACATCTCTCTCATAATTATACAAAGAGTCATTTTACCAGATAACACATAAGCCCTTCTATATAAATGTTGGAAAAAAAATATTGCGTTAGGCAAATCGTGACGAATGGCATCTTCATTGCGATACGCGTCATTCATTATGCCACTTCGACGGAAATAACGAAGTTTTATTACGCGATCGTGTCTGACGTCAACCCGCCCGCTGCCTACTATCAAGTGCAAACAAGATAGATTTAGCCTTTGACATAACGGGCGCCACAATGAGAGCGCCGCATAGCTCTCTCCGCCGTCTGGATGCACCTCCGTGATTGTATGTAAATGAGCGGATATATGCAGTTACATTGCATGCTCTAGTGTATGTCTCACCACTACGCGCGCAAGCTCTTTCCATGATGACAATGACACCATCCCTCCGTGCCTCCAAGGCGACGATAAGGAAGCGCGCGCTCTCTCTCTCCCCCCCTTTCCCGCGCATTTTAATAAGCATAATATATTTTGCATCGTATACATTGATCGTTAAGTTAAACTTTTCCAATCGATGATTATTAATCGACAAGATTAATATAGTGAGCACAAATTTTCAATCATGATTAAATGTGATTAAATATATTGTACAACTGTTACAGCGATATTAGTTAATTCCAATAAATAAATGCATAATTACTTTAATTTATGCCAACAGATTAAAAATCAATAAAACAATTACACATAAAAGATTATAAAATAAAAAATAAATTTAAAAAATCTTTTTATGTGTTCTATTGCTGGGCAGAAAAATTACCTTATAATTAAATTAAAATATTTAATAATAAAACCGTTACATTACAATATTCATTATAATCAAAGCACATTACCAATCTGATAATTTTTTCGAGTGTTTTAACTTATGTCGTAATTAATGGAAACATATAAAATATACATGAGCCTTATTGTCAATTACAAAATGCTATTTTAAGCAGTAACAAAATGATAAACCGGCGAATAGAAAGAACAGAGGCGGACGCGAGCAATAGTAACAAAGCGCAAACAATGTCGACGTTGGAATTGGTCGATGCTACACCCGCTCATCTGTTCATCGCAATTCACCAGTACGTATTAATAATCCGCAAATGTAGCCGGCAAAAGATATCTGCAGCACGAGCCAGCGCTATCGATCACTTTGCACGAAACATTCGACGCATTATACTCGCGACCGACGCGACGGCTGCGTTTACTCAGACTCTTTCCCTGGCCGTTGCGATATGTTTCGTTACTACTGAAATCTTACTACGACCAATGGATCTTTTAAGCATATTTTCAAATAGTCTCAATATCTTCTAATATATATAAATGCAATGTATAACCGCATATGAGCGCATCTTCTTAAACAAAAAGCAAATTAAGAGTTATTTTTTTATTTTTATAATCTTTATAACATAAATGCTCTAAGCAATAACACCGAAAGAATATTTTGTTTGGACACTCCAATTGTTTAACATCCTCAACAAACAATGAGAATTCTTGTTTAATATAAAGACGCATCTATAGCTTTATAATAATGCATTTTCTATCATGAACTGAATCATGTAGTGAATAGTCACACGGCGGCTATAATTCTCTGAATGAAAACTATATTTAATGTAACGACAAGCTGTACGCATAGTTTTCTTTAGCAAATGTAATAAGCGATACGAGAAGCCTCTGTTTCGAGGCCAGACAGTGAAGGTTTTCCACACACAATCTCTACTGCATTTATATTCCAATAATCACAAATATAGATTCATGAATAATCACGAACAAAGACGTAGGTTCAGCCTCGTAACATTGTAAAAAAATTGAGGGTAGAATAGAGAACTTAGCCAGTGACATTGACTAACTGCGACATTATCGATGTTTCCATACATTTACGATAGTCTAACAGTCTAACGAGACACGTATACTTGACCGTGCGCTGACACATGGACATAGTTAACCAATTTTGTATTCTTCAGGTGTCAAAGACAATCTCTCTCTTTTATTATCGGACGATACACTATACCCATAGCGTGACAACCGATGTCGAAAGAGTTTTAATTCGCCGTGCTATTATATGCAGCAAAGATGGTAAACGAGTAGTTACATGTAGTCAGAGGGATTATCAATATTTACGCTCTTCCGGCGAGCGGAGCCTCGGTCGTTCCACCTGTTTCCTCCTCGAGTGGGCCGCGCTTCTCTTTGGCCTCCTCCAAACCTCTATGAGTACCAACCGCGAAGGCACTGTAGTGTGGTATCGGTGATCGCAGTAGAGCTCTCGAGCAGGAGGGTGCTCCCAACGTGGCAGAGCTCCAAATCCTCCTACGCCGCTACACCCTCGCCACCGTGGCTAGAATCGTCGCCACCCTCGCCCACTCTCTCGGATCGGTGGCGCGCACCAGGCCCCTTCTCTAACACAACGAGGAAGAACACCCTTTCTCTGCTTCACTCGGTCACCCGGACCGAGCTTGATCCAGAATCCCAATTACGTCGCGCCATCTTCATCGAAGTTGACACAATCCTTAAGATAGCCTCATTACTTAAATCTAATGATCGTGGCTATTGAATAACAATTATTTTATCGTGATGAGAATGTAACAAAATTTCGTAACAAAATAAATTAAAATTTTGTTTAAAAAAATAAGTGCTCGATAAATATACCAACAAAATTGGCTCGACTAGTAGTATAAGTCAATGACAAAAACGACTTGTTATAAACTAACTTTCGTGCAAACTTATTTTGAAATAATATAAAATTTTTCTTATTGCTTTCTCTTCGTTTATATGAGTATAAAAAATAGCTCGTGTAAGACGTTCACTTTTAAATATCGGCTTAAAAAATTTTGTATATGGTTTAAGTTTTCAAATTTAGATTATATATTTTTTAATAATGCTACTCATCAAAACTACCTACATATTTATATATCTTTATTTCGACTTTCACGTATAATTTTATTTTAAAATAGACATTTTCGTACAATTATTATCAGAAATATATCATAAATTCGGTTCCACTTCAATCGGATTACGGAAAATGCTAAAGGTTGCGATCATATCACGAGTAATTAATGGCTATCGTCGAAAATATCCGTTCAAGGATTTCGCGAAGAGCCACTATCTATCGATCCGTGATATCTCACATCGGGATGCGACTCTCGTAGACAGGACGATTTCTTGGCAACTTTCCGGAATTGGAAACATCGTGGATTATCATCCGGTCGAGAATCGTCGTGTTTTCGTCGTAGGAGCATCGCCCACCGCGGAAACAGGCGAAATCCGACCAAATCATTGGACCTCAACTGACCTATTTTCCGCGGCATACAAACGCGCGTTATACTTTTGCAACGGAACGGATTGTTGTTTTCCTTCGCGTATCCATTCTAGCCTGGTTTGTGCAACCGCGTTGGCAATACTACCATCGCTTGGAAGGATAACAGTGACAGCCGACGCCATCGAGTGTTTTTCCATTACCGCTTCGGCCAGAAAAGATTTATCTTTTTCGCGGTCCTACAGATATATCTGGCATCCTGTATTCCGTGTAATGGAGCTTCAAATTTATTTCCGCTTTTAGAAATGCTACCATGTATCCAAATATATGAGGTACATGGAAGTCTAGCAGTATAACTACTGATTTTTCTGTAGAGTGTTTAAGAAATCATGTACGCAAAGATATTTCCGGCACGAGACACGGTTATATTAAATAAAAAATAGTCGCAGTAATTGCAAACGTTTCAAAAAACAATATATATAAGAATTACATGGATTCTACATGAGAATGGCAGTAAGGAGCAAAATATTGTTATCAATAAACATACATAGCATTTTATAACAGTATTTAACAGTAAAGAAAAGCAACTTTAATTTATGTTAAAAAAGATTCTTTATATTATATGTATTTGGATATCACTATAAATTGATAAATTGATAACATAAAGTAAAAGGTCGATGGTTACACATGTCCCAATTTCGAAAACGGAGCATTTTACGTAAACAAATTAGTGACTGACATCTGGCGCACAAAGGCTGACAGAAATCGGGCATAGTAGAATAGAGAGACGCGAGCAGACAGAGAATGACGCTTCGTTCGCAAACAACCAATGCATATTTAATAGTGGACGATTATTAATACGCGCTTACGCGAATGATTGATGAAACCATACGGATACGGA